ATTATTTGTCCATATACCCATTTCCATCACAATAATTTATCACAATTCAAGTTAGGGACCATTGTATTGAAAATGGTCAAAATCACGATTCCATGCGATTATCAAGTTCAGTATTGTTTTGACTCAACAATACATCATCGATATGATTGAAAATAGATAGAATGTCAGAAAACGATCGCTAAAGCTAAAAGATCACAATAGCTTATCAACATTCAATTGCAAGTCAAAATCTCCTCTTGAATCACTTCATCGTGAACGGTGAGTGATGCGTTCACATCAAACAAAAGTCGTGATCTTGTGAAATATTCTAATTCGAAACCAATTCAATTGACTCATTCGATTCTCCACTAAAACTGCTCTGTTTCAATGTGAGGTATGCGTTTAATAACATGGAATATCAACGGTATTCGTTCACTATCCGATGGAATTCCGAAAATTCTCGACGAACTGAATGCTGATATCATTTGTTTACAAGAAACAAAAATCAGCCGCGATATGCTCACGGCTGATATTGCAAATGTTAACGGATTCAATTCATACTTCTCGTTCTGTCAGTCTGCTAAAAAAGGTGATTATTCATTCAGCGAATTCGTTGTTGATGATCATATCATTATTCCAAACGAACTCTATTGACAATTTTTAACTGTGGAAACTTTTCGAATTTCTTCAATGACTCTGTTACGTGTATTATTTTGACATGCCTGCATTTACCTAAATGTCGATCAATGTCACCAGATTTTAGGCTACTCAGGTGTTGCCACATATTGCAAAGATGAATGTAGACCATTTGATGCAGTTGATCACCTTGCACAACGTGTATGCTTTAGCNTGAGTGTATCATGTTCGCATCAAATCTCCATGAAACAACGATCAGATTTGAGTTCCTTTCCACCACAAATGACCAGAAATTCATAGAATTCGCAGGTGTTAGAACATTTTGATCACTGAATCAATTTGAGCTTGGCTAATGATGGATCGATCAGAAGTCAAATCAGATCAAATAAGTGAACTGCGAAACAGACTGATTGGTTTGCTTTTGAAGGATTGTGAGTTACCATTGGGTGATATCGAAGTTGATAACGAAGGTCGTGCTGTTATCGTTGAGTTTCATATTGCTGAAGTTGACTCAACAACTGAGGACGGTGATAAGCCAAGTACAAGTCAAAGTAATAAATTCCCTCAGTCAAAACATCCTGACAAAGGAAATCTTCACACCTCAGTCCCACTGCATGATTCCTTTTAATCTTGAACATACAACTTCCTGAACGTTCTGAAATGATTTCATCAAATTTCTCTGTCGAAAATGCACCAACTTCATTGATTCTATTGGAATTTTTTCCACAAAAACGCCTTCTCCCTCTTGCCTGTATGTTGCTTACGAGCGATCAAAGCAAGCAAAATGTATGTGAATATCCTGAAATCAAAATGTATGATGAATTGAAATAATTCAGATTCATGTGTGGAACTTCAAGATCGACTAGAGAAATTGGCAATCATAAATGTCTATTGTCCTCGTTATAATCCGGACAATACGGAGCGTTTCGAATTCAAACTGAGGTTTTCACGTGATCACTTGTGTTTTTTCGCATGAATATGTTTGATACAGATGATTGTTCAAATTGGCATATCTTAACAGTGTAACAGATTACAGTGTTCATTGAAACCCTAATAGATCCGACTGTCTCGACTTGATTAATCATTGATTAATCACGATGAATATTCAGTATCCGATAAAAATGGATTATAAGTTTTAAGATTTCATCAACTTTTGAGTGCTCGAGTGCAAGAGTATAAATCGAGTGGTTATCACGTTATCATTATTGGTGATGTGAACATTGCTCATAAGGCAATTGATCATTGTGAAGCGGAAAAAATAAGTGATTTCGAAGAACAGCCACATCGAGTTTGGATGAGCGATTTTCTGGAGAATTATGGTTTCGTTGATTGTTTTCGAAACTTTCATCCTAATCAATCGTACGCGTATACTGTATGGAATACACAGGTTTTTCGAGTTCACGATGCATTCCTTCATTTTCGCCATTCATAACCGTGGATTTGAATCACTACTTCACTCGACTTGATAACATATTTTAAGTTTTCATCTCGCGAGAACAACTTTCGAAAATGGATCTTTGAAATGGATCGAAATTGTTTCATTTGGATTTTGCGATCATCTTCTCTTGTGTCCTTACATTAGACTGAAATTAATTTGTGAATTGCCGAATGTGACTGAATAATAATGATAACAATTTGCGATTATAACGTAACGGTAGTAACGAATCCAGAAGGTGTGTTTAAGACGAATGCGAGAGCGACCAATTATGGCACCCGAATCGACTACATAATCGCCAATTCGGAATTGCTCAATCGTGAATTCTTCTCGGATTGTGATCATTTAACGGATCAGATGGGTTCTGATCACTGTCCAGTGATCGCTGTGATCAACAGCTCTAAATGGCGATTTGTCAGTGCCCAACAATTACCATCACTGTGCTCGAAGTTAATGCCCGAGTTTCGTGGTACTCAAACATCAATTAGATCATTCCTTTGTGCAGCTCAACCTTCAACAACCGCAACCAGAGATGAATTGAGAGCTAAGAAACGAAAAAGTGTAGCGTCACAACGTGCGATCACAAATTTCTTTACAAAAACGGTTTCTCATTTAAGTATCTAGAAGATAATTCTTTTATCTTTTCAATTCTTGTACCACTATCTTTTCAGCATCATCTCACGCTCGGAGATTGTTCATTGATTTTCTCATCGATAAGATCATTAAAAATGGTAGAGACAAAAAGCTTTTGCTTGTCTCCTTTATGTCTTTCATGCTTTTTGCATGATTTTTCGACGAATTTTCTGAATTTGTGTCCACTTTCAGGAATCGTCCACTTCTTCTAGTGGCAGTAGTCAAAATGAACGCTCATCTTCTAATGGCAACAAAAAGCAGAGGTTAACGGAGACGAAAACTGAGAGGAATAGTGTAATGTCAGGAATGAGTAATGGACTGCTTACGAAAAAACTGGAAACTATTGTTGACGAAAGACAAATTAGCGTTGGTAATGCGCTGAAAGGAGGAACGAAGAATGCATTTGAGAAGATTATGAGTAAGAAAAATGTCCCAAAATGCACTGGACACGGTGAACCAGCAGCTGAACGGACAGTCAAAAAAGCTGGGCCGAACTTCAATCGAAGGTGTGAACTCAACACGTATTCCGTTACAAGAAATTTCCTTGTATTTTGAATTATTCAATCTTATCCGTTCCATTGCAGTGCAAAAATCGTTTTCAGATTCTATGCGTGTGCACGTCCAATGGGATTCGCGACTGATAAGAATGCGAGGTGCAACTTCTTTGAATGGGCTTAACTTAGCCGTTGATGAACTCCTTCATTGAACCGCAATGATCCGCGCACTTTCACGTACACAAAACCTTACTTCCGCTCAACTTATTATTGTTTTATCATTATGATACGTATGAATATCGAAAGATCTCGTGCATGAAGTTATCATATCATATGTATACAAGTGCAATTAATCAGTTATTCATTATACTACATCACTTTATATGTAAATATGGAATGTTTCTTAAATGTTTTATTGTTAGGTAAAAGCCAATTTTTGGGCGATTTTAGATTTCAGAGAGTTCTTCATTTTGACGGATTTGTTTGAATCTGTATTTACTTTCATATGTTTCATCTGTCACTTATTGTAACCAGTTGGACAATTTTATTCAATAAAACTCATTTACAGGGCGAACATTCAATATGAATAATCACCAACGTTAGAAAAAATCACCAGTCGATAAGATCTGATAAAGTAAAGAAGTGAAGAAAATCAATAGAAAATTAAGAAATTCAGTAAATCATTTTGAACAAAAATAATGTTGTTAGGTTGACCCGATAGAATGAGAATATTACCGAGATGAATAAGGTGATTNGAGATTATTGAAACACGATCCGATTCCACAATAAAGCACATACGTCTAGCCATAACGATGAGTAAAATAAGTACAAAAAAATTTATGACGATCAGAGTGCTAAAGCTTTTTATGGAATGGAACAGAGATTCCGTGAAACTTCAGCAAATAAAGAGGTAGTATTAAAACGGTATATATTTATATGAGAAGTAATAACAATAGGAAGAATATTATAAACGATCAAAACTGCCAATATATAGCTTTTTTGAACAATGCGGCGAGTGTCAATTCATGTTTAATTGTGGTTTATAATTTGCTCAGAAATCGGATATTCGGAGACTGGAACACAGTGACGGGCAAGACAATAACGTAACACTTAATCGGATATTCGTGCATATCATCAATTGCAGCAAATGATAATAAAAGTAAAACGCTAAACTTTCAACAGAAACGAAGTAAAAATGATAAAATAACAAAGCCTTCTTTAAAAAACAGAGGCATTCGATCAGAATTCAGTCCAATTAACAGTAAACTGCAAAAATTTGAATTTGAACTTATATCATTGTTTACGGATTACATTCACAAAACTTCAAAAACGTTTGAAAAAAAAAAAACAACAATTACGATAATGTGTACAATGCTCGAAGGTAGCGAGCGTTAATATATAACAGATGTTGTTGATTAACGCATCAACAATATCATCAAAGAATTCGTCGATAAATGCTGTTCAATGTTCCCATATTTACACTCTAACCAATTAAGCCGAAACCTTAAAAAATAATTCACACAACTGCAGCTGTATATGACATATCGATATATTGCAAGTTCAACGAAAGAATATTGAACACGACGATCTGAACACATCTGCTGCAGATGACTGTTTGAATATAATCCAAGAGAATTCTGAACGAACATCGAAGCACTGTTAGAGAAATGATAAGAATACTGAAATACAAACTTCGAGCAATACCTTTCTAGATGTGGAATTTAGCAAGCACAGCCCAGTGATCACTGGGGAAGCAGAGCACTCGACGAATTCGATCCTTTCCGTGCAACGAGAAATCAACCGATGAGAAAACACCACCACTGAATCATTCATTATTTGATGATGATTTTTGAGAAAAAAGACAATCGGAACAATGAAATAAAACCGTAACAAGTATTACCCATGAAAGTAGAGTCTATCGAAACGACATCGCGCTCCCCCAGCCTCTACATTATCGTTAGCGCTTGAATCCCACGTGAAACGCCATTTGTGCTGTGAACCAGCCGCAACCCATGCATCTTGAAAACCATCCGGTAACGTACCAACCTAAACATTCAATATCTTATACCAGTCAATGTCTTAAACTCATAACTTATACTAATATTCAATAACATTCAATATCTCATAGTAACATTCAATATCTTATACCAGTTCCAGGAAAACGAATAATAAATAATGTTAGTGAGCAGTGATTTTCATGATGATAAAAATGAAATTCAGTGGATTGTAGCACTCGTTTTTGCAGCATTTTTGTGCACGTCTAAGGACCGCAATTAACCGTCTTTATCAGCAATCACATTTTCAAAGAGCCATTCCGATAACCCGCCTCATTATCGCGTATATTCAAGTCACCACCGAACACAATCAACGACCGACCGTCATTCCATTCCTTCACTAAATCGAAACACTCTTGCATCTGCGCCTTTCGAATGTCACTATGTTCCTTCATACTCTCCAGATGGGTGTTCAACAGATGCACTTTCATATCGCCGATTTTTGCCTTTAATTTGCTTTAATTTATACTTCCAATTACCAACACGCAATATAATAACGATGATAATACAATAAACAATGAGGACAAAATCACTGAAGCAAAAAATATGAAGGTCTATTCGACGAAATGTCAGTCCACCTACATCACAAAATTACTCGTGCAGTTTGCAAATGCAC